CCATCTGCGTTTCCTCAAAGTGTAAGGAAGCATGATGCAAAGCTGCTAATGCACAAATTCCGAACTATTATTAATATTCGCTTTCATCATCTTTACTACCCTGATCTATTTTCCGTCTTTAATTCAAGTTCAAATAGTGTTTCATTCAGCATAAAATAGGGAAACATTGCATGAGAGGAAAATTTAACTAGCGGGAGCTTAGGACGAATCTCGCAACAATCGCATAGTTACAAAAATCTTAAGTTTTAAAGTTTAAAAATTGGAAATAGAACTGTGTTGGGAAAACTATGCCGATTTGAACCACGTTCATAAAATTTTGGCATTCCAGCTGCCTTCGTTACAGGTTACGTATGACAGCTCGTGTTCGTAAGTGAGTCGCGCACGAAACATAAAGGGAACTCGAAAATCTGCCTTCAAGTGTACTTGCACAAGCACGTTCGCCGGTCATCGCTAGAAAATTCCTGCGCTCTAGCTGCTTTGGCGACAGGATTACAAAACCGTTTGCGTCAGATCTCACGCGCTCGTAGTAAGATGTGGAGGGGCGCGAAGCACGAATTTATTTCACGTACGGATAAGTGAGCAGCAAATAACATCAGACAGCTCTCACCAGTTTTTTAAGCAATCTAATTCTGGTACTGGCATTATGCCGAAATGATTGAACTCTGACGCTTATGCACATAAGATTTGAAGGTGTGTGTGGAGATTGAATTTAAATTCTTTGGATCACACGTGGGCTAGGAATGTTAAAGTCTTAGCCTTTCAGCTTGTCGGGTTCTGAAATCACTTTTTCGCCAAAAAATCTTTCACATGTCAGGGCATGAATTATCATTTTGGGCCAAGGAATCCATAAGTATGTGCAGAATAAGTTGCCGAAATTTCAAGTTCGTAGGTTTCATATATATATATATATATATATAGTATATCCCTCTACAACATGCGTCTTTGGCACTACAAGAACGCAAAAAAACGTGTAAGGACCGCTCTAAAACCAGTAGGTAGAATTTATGATATACTGGTCCTCGAAGTTTAGGAAGTTAATCGTGCAATTAAGTGGCACTTGGGCAAAGAATATTCTGTCAAAATTTCAACTTTCCTACTTTTTTGTTTTTCTTGTTAACAATCTTCCCGCCAAAACTTTCGTGGAGTCGTATGTAATCTGAGGGCTGAGTTTGAAACAAAGTTGTACGTGGGCTGGGAACATCCTCTTAAAATTTCAGCCTCTCAGCTTTCCTGTTTCCCGAGATAGTCATTTTCACGTCAAAAATTTCACGGGGCCGCATGTGAGAACCAAATCATGCCTAAGGGCTGAATTTGAAATTTTTGAGTTCTGTGTGGAAGGGGACATAACCTCAAAATTTCAGCTTTTTAGCTTTTCTGGTTCCCGAGTTAGTGATTTTCCCGCTGAATCTGTTACTCCCTCTTGCGTAAGAGTAGGTACCACGGCCCGGGGTGGCACTTGGCTGGAGAATCCACTAGCAAAATTTTGGCGCCGAAGCTTGCTTGGTTGTCCAGTTGAAATACCCGGACAGACGAACACAGCACACACACACACACACACCCGCGCACACAGGGGCGTTTCAATATGCGTTTTTGCATTTACATATAAGCAAAAACGCATAATGAGTTTGAAATGCAGCGCAAATGAAGCTTTTGCGTCTAGAATTCGTAAAACTTGAAATATGGGACAAACATGTGATGTAAAAAAATGTATTTATGTAGTTTGATTGATGCAGAACAGCTGATTTCAATTCTCATGAATGACTTTCTGATGTGAACAGGAAAAGAAGGGTTTCTATGCGTTTTGTGCTTGAAGAGCTGTACAAAACACTCACTGGCACACCTCTTCCGTGCGTA